AAACTTATTTTTTAATTAATATTTTAAAAATATTATTTAGAAAGTAAACTTTTTTAATAAATTCTCCAAAAATAATACATTATTCTCATTTTCATTTATTAAATAATATGAACAAACGCATCCTTTCCCTTCATGCATGGTTTTAGAACCGGCCTAGCCCGGCTGGTTCGACTAGATTTGATCTTAATTTCGGGTCAAGTCAATCTATTAAATCGGAAATGATAAAAAACTGATTAAATTCATGAGGTCCCAACCGGTTTCCTATTCTTGGTTTTTAATATATTTTCATTATTTTTAGAAAATGTTAAATAAATGGCAATAACGGGATACAAACACTTTCCTTTAATAAGCAAATGAAACAACCCTTAATTATTTATTAATAGAGAAATTAATTTTTTTAAATATAAGGTAAAAATTACAAATTTTTTTATTAATTAATTTGTAATTATGACTTAGTAAAATTTTGTTAAATAAGAAAATTAATTACCAACATATTAATTAACAAAAGTAAAAGAAATGAATAAGTTAATGTTAAAATTGAATGTAAAAAAACTTAATACAAAAAGCACTTATTAGTATACTTTCTAATTTAATATATTATGTAATATATTTATTAAAAATTATTATTTTTAATATAAAATAATAATAAATAACTTTATATTATCTCTTTACCTATCTCACCAAATACTGACAACTTAAATTTAAATCGTATGCATTACTTAAATAAAGAGTGCCGCTAGGTAGTCCTGTATCGTTTACATAATTCTCAGGTTGGTTGGTTTCGTGTTTTCCTTTTTCTTATGTTCAATGTAGGCCAATGGGTCATTTGGCCCTACTGCATAAGGCACTCAAATAAAAGCCTATCTAGGTACACAAGGAGTTCCACCCACGGCACTTGGTTGAGCTGGGCTTGCCACAACTTTTTAGTATTTTAATATTCAGGAGGTCGATGATAGCCCTGACCAGTGTAGGGTACCCTGTGCTTGCTTTAGCTTCAAATTAGAGTCCGTCCCGATCACAATGCAAGTTCCTCGCGACCCAAAGTGATTCACGCAATACATGATTATGTTTCCATAAAAAAATAAAATGAAATCAATTCTTCTTGTGCACCGCTAGGGTTAGAAGGTGTTACAAGTTTTTTTCCTTCGGGCCGGATTCCTCACCTGGAATAGGAATTTTTCATGTTTCCTTTTCTCCTTCTTTCATCTGGTCTCTATCTTTTTGGAGAGGATTTGTAGCTTCAGTTTCCTGGGGGTTTCTTCTGAGGAGAACATGACTAGGTTATGTGGTCGGCTTGCAGCGTCTTGGGTTGGCATTTGGTTTGCTGAGAGGTTTGTAGGAAAGAGGCTCGGCTATTATCAGCAAACCAAATACCAACCCTAGCTCTCCTTCATCTTGGTGTTATTAATTGATACCTGCCACATGGATAAAGGAGAGCTCGATGGTTTTGGTGCGGTTGAAATTGGTTCCATATTTGGGAGAATTTGACTTATAAATGAAGGAAGCGAGGTTTTCCCTGCGTGAGTGGGATGCAAGTTTCCTTGATGATGATACGGTTTGCGGTGGGTGGGGACTTTTGTTGGCCTGAAAACTTAGTCTCTCTAGAAGCTGACATATCTATAGGGATTGCCTAATAGGTTTGTATAGATGCTTCTAGTAGTAATTTTTACTACTTTGTGAGTACATATATATATTGGAAAAGTAAAAATCAAGATGTCATGATATCAGAACGTTCATCATAATCATTCATTAAATGAGTTTTTGACTGAAACCCATTTAACATATAACTGTAATAGGACATCGGATGCCAAAATATCTTATTTTTTGAATTATATATATATACATGTACATACTTATATAAATTTTTTTTTTCAATTTCTAACCATATATAGGTGACTCTTTATTTCTTAGTTATCCTCAATTGTCATAGATAAAATCTTCTATAACACTAGTTATAGGTTTAGCTTTGCTCTCTATTTCTACTATAGCCATTTCCTAGAGCTTCCTCTTGTAATTTCTGTTGCTTATTAATGAATTTAAAAGATTGATTTCGTTTCTCAAAATGGAGTGGCAATAGCAAAATATCAGTTTCATAGCATTTCACTGAATTTTTCCTAGCCTGTTGCTGGATATGGTAGTGGAAAATACCTCTTCTTTCTTAGCTGAAAAGATTCCAAAAGTTCTTTCCGCATACTGTTTTATTTTATTTGGTAAGATAAGAGGGAAATGGCCCTGGCCCCTGACCACTGTCCCCTTCACATATATATAGCAAACAAAACTTCTCTTCAAATACAAAAATTATTAGGAGCATAAATACCAATTATATAATAATGACAGCCACCTGGAATTAATTCCTAGGTTCTCATTTCCCAATTGTCGGTGCCCACCAAAATACAATATATTAACCTTAAATCCCCCAAGAAAAATATTATAAAAAATTTAAATATATAGAAACTAGAAAAAAAGCTAAAAATGTGGAATAATTAAAATCCAAAATCAAAAGTTGGTACTTGAGCCACGGTTGAATCAGTCCCTACCCGAGTTTCCGATGAATCGGAGTGGTTTCCGAGCAACGCTGGCTGTGTTTCCTGCCCTTCCGAGGAAGCTACCACTGTGCCTCGTTTGTACAAGGTGCTTAATTGATGGAAATAAGGACATGTCCTAGAGTCGATAGACCTCTTCTTGTTATTATCTTTTGTTTTCCTGAAGTACTTGTTTATGTTCTCCCATTTCTCTTTGCATCTCTTTGCACTCCTTTTGTACCCCAGTTCTAGCATCCCTTGCGAGATTCTCTCCCACAGAGGAGCCTTCACGGCAGCGCCGCCTTCCTTTTCCTCGCCTGTATTGGTACTGTTGAAGAGACTGCATCGGAGATTTATGAGAGCCAGCACTTCATCTCTTGGCCATCTCTTACCAAGGTCTTCTTTATGATCACTTATGGGAGTAGTGTTTTGTGGAGCTTTTGGAGTTTTTGGAGCACTGAGAGAATTAGGGTTTTGGGGTGTTAATGAAGGAGATGATGTTGATGCTTTTGAGGTGGTAGGAGCAAGAGGTGAATTAGGGTTTTGAGGGGCTGGATTTTCAGTCAATGAAGAGGGTTTCATCTGAATCATGGTTGATGAAGATGAAAGTACCACTCGATCAACTTTCGTTTGGTTATTATTGGTAATGGGAAAATTAGAGTTTTGTTCTAAGGCTAGTGAAGAAGATGAAGTAGGACCAGAATTTGGTGCAAATGTACTTAAGAATTTGATTAACGTAGCTTGTCTATCCACTGCAATTGCTTGTTCTTGTGCCCTAAGTTCAAGCTCCTTGTTAATCCTATCCATCTCTTGCCTTTTCCAAGCTTCTTCTCTAGCAACCTTTTCTTCATCCCTCTTCACCATGTCTTCAAGAAGTTTATTATGCAACTCTTCCTGTTGAGCCAACAACTTATTCACAACATCTTCACAAAATCCCTTAAACATCTCAAACTTCTTCTCTCTTTTCCTCTTCCTGCTCTTTGCTTTCTGGTCACCATCATCATCACCATCAACCGCTTTCTCATTACAATCCTCTGATGGATTCCCTACCATTTGATGATCATGATCATGATCATGACCATAATTACTATTCCTTGAGCCATCTTCTTGGCCTTCTTCTTCATCACCATGGTTTTCCAAGCTTTTCTTCTTTTTTGGTTCAGCAGCAGCAGCAGGGTTGTTTTGATCACCATGACAAAGCACCTCAAGTTCACTAAAGATCCTTAAGTTCTTGCTGCAATTAATGTTGCTGTTAAAGTATCTGCTTTCTTCTTCAAATTTCTCCTTGCACTTGTCAGCACTCCTTTTGAATCCAAGTTCCGCAAGCTTCCTGCACCCACCATAATTATACATAAAGTGAAATTTCTTAACATTAATTCTTTCTATTTCACATCTTGTCTAATTAATAAAAGTCGGCACAAGATGGGTTTTGTTTCATTAACCATCTCTTTGACTCTCCTTTTCTCTCTCCCAGCACTACTCATCATCGCTACTTTTCTGTAAATATATATACTGTTCAAGTTCAAGATCCCTTAAAAAGCTATATATAAATGCATAAAATTGATCAAGCATCTACTCTAACTCAATTTTATTGCTTCAAAATTTCAAACTCTCTATATACATAGAATTTGTTCTTAAATACAAAGATAACTATCAAATGAATTACCTTGACACATGGTCCCAAGTGAATTCTGGGAACCAATTCTCCATGCTAGATCTGACCCTTAATAGAGCAATCACTTCTTCACTGGACCATGGATCAATGGATCTCTGCTTCTCTAAGTTCACACCCACCAAGGTGTTGTCTTCTTTTTCTTGGGAAATCTTCTGGTGCAAGAACAAGGGATGGGAATTGGAAGGAGCGGAAGTGTAGAGAGGATCAAAGGCAGGAGGGAAAGGGGAGGAATTGGAGGCATGGTGGAGGGGAGGAGGGAAAGGAAGGGGTAGAGGGAGAGTTGTTGCTGCTGGAATTGATGAAGAAATGAATTGGTGGAATTGGTCTGGTACTCCATCAAACATGATGTTTAGTGTTTAGTGTTTAGTTTGTTGTGGGTGTGTTCTTTCTCCTTTACCTTCTTCCTCTATTGTAAAATGGACAAAATCCCCTACATACAAAAGGGACACCGAACTCTTCTCTCTCTCATTTATCAAGGACTTTGTCCTTTCATGCAAGGGAAAAGATGGCACGACACACACACCCATTTTGGTAAGTGAAGTCACTTTCCAATCAAACAACTTGTCGTGTGAATAGAAAATAATTTTATTCTCATTGAAAGGCAGGATTAGCTTTTTTTTTGAAAGGCAAAAGGCAGGATTAGCTATGGTAAGGTGGTATATATTAACCAATTTAATCTCAGTATATTAATTTCATTTATGTTTCTTAATTTTTATCCAGCTCTAAACAAAAACACATAAGAATCACTAGACATACTAGGGTATGGAGTTAGTTTATTTGCCTTATTTTTTAAAAATTAAGAGAAAAATTATTTTATAATTATATTATTTTAATCAAATATTGTGAAAAAAGATTAAGTCCATTCTAATTTATACTTTCAAAACAAGATATTTTAATTTGTTTCAATATAAATTTACTGAAACAACATAACGTTAAAGTTATTTTCCTCTTAATTTTTAAAAAGTAAAGTAAATAAACACTATTTTTTTACTGTCCATCCCATATATTGTATAAAGGTGACCCATTTAACTTAATTTTCTAAATTGAACCATTCATCTATTTGTTATAAAAGTTATATACTATTAGACCCATTTAGCCAAATTTTCTAAATTGAACTATTCATCTATTTGTTATAAAAGTTATATACTATTAGGCAAAAAGAGCTTTTTTTTTTTTTTCTACGAGCTAACTTTTACTTCAAAGAATTAGAGAGTACCCTTTTTTTTTACAGATAAGAATAAATTACTTGTTTTTTAATCTAGATGGATTAAAAGTGTCAATTCCTTGTGAAAAAGATTAACACGCCCCTAACAAATTATCACATGTGTATTTTTTTTTTAAAAAAAACATTTTACTTTTTTCCAACATGGACTAACTATTTCAAATTTTTGAAAAGTTGGGAAAAATTTTGAATATGAATATTGATGATATTCAAATATTTTTTACAAAACTTTGACACAATATATTAAAATAAAAAAATTAATTTACAATCTAAACTACATAAATTCATACCACATTACAAAATAATTACCTTTAAATAAGAAACAAAATCCGAATATTGAAATTTTTTCTTCCATCCAAAAACTCTAATTTTATAATTTGATACAATAGCATACAAATGGTAAAACAATTAACCTATTAAAATTTTCATTTTATAGGGTAGGATCCACGGCAATATGATGAGAGTGGGGATGATGAAGGTAGGGGAGGATGGAAAATGAAACTTGATAACAAAATAATAATAATAATAATAAAATAATAAATAATATTGTTGGGGATTTTTAGAATCCTATGCGGTAGCTGAAGCTGATGGTGTAAATAACGGCAAGGGAGATGGCAGGACACGTGAAAGCATGCAGACGGCTGGGGACCAATTATTTAAGGAAGGTGGGAGCATTTTCACGTGGATCACATCCCTACACTAGCTATTCTACACCCTCTACCTATTTTTTTTTTTTTTTCATTCTGGTTAAATTGTAAATTAAGCCCTCAAAATTTTTAAGCAATAAACTACAAAAGTGGCATGTATGCCCCTGTACTACAAGGAGTTGGAGCTTGGAGGCAACAATGAAGCGCTTTTGGGCAAGAAGGTTGAGCTTTGTGCATGAAATTTGGTACAAATAAGAACATAATTAACTTTTCAAAATTTTTTAATTAAGGATATGACTTTTTTTTTTTAGTCTAATAAAGGCTATTATATTTCAAAAATTTATAATGAAGGATATGACCTTGTAATTGATGTGCAAGGTCAAATAATTGATTTGAAACTTTTAAGAAGTGGTAGGTTTAATTAATAAAATTAAAATGGTTATATTCTTGGTTAGAAACTTTAGTAATTTTGATTAATTAAAAAAGATCATATCATTAATTAAAAAAATAGTTTTTAAAAAATTATGTCCTTTTTTGTACCTAATTTATGTATTAGTCCCATAAAAGATTTGGTCGACCTCAATACTGTCCTTCAAACATCTTAAACCTTTTTAAAAATTAGTAGTTAAACTATAAAGGTGGCAGTTAGGCCCATGTACTACTTAGAGTTGGAGCTTGGAGGCAACAACGAAGTGCTTTTTGACAAAAATGTTGAACTTTGTGCATGAAATTTGATACAAATAAGAATATAACTTTTTTATGTACCAAAAAATAAGAACATAACTTTTTAAAACTTTTATAATTTAGAATATAACATTTTTTTACAGTAATAAAGATTACTACTTTTTAAAAGTTTTTAATCAATTATTTGATTTTACACATCCGTTTATAATGTCATATCTTTGATCAAAAACTTTTAATAGATAATCTTGATTGGTAAAGAAAAAAAGAATCATATTATTAATCAATTTTTTTTTAAAAGGTTATACCTTTATTTGTACCAAATATGTGTATTAGTTCTATAAAAGACTTGGTTAATTTCAATATTGTCCTTGAACTTCTTAAACTTTTTCAAAAATTAGTTAAACTTTATAAATTCAAATTAATTACCCACCTTAAGAAAGGCCCTAATATGCAGTAATGACAAACTGTCAATCGCAGAGACAGAGATCCTTTTGGGAATTTTTAGCAAGGGACATATTTTGTCCCCATCCCCATTTCTCACGGGACCACCAATAAAATCTAAAGAAGTAATAATAGATTTTTAGATCTTTCAACTTCTACTTTATTTAATTATTTTTTATTATATATCATTAAAATTAAAATTATTAATAAATTAATTTAATTTAAAAGAAATTGGTTTTAGAAGGGAGCTTTTATTCCTTCCAATTCACAGTTTCATCGCCCATCTTGTAGAAGGCTTATCATCGTCTTTATTCATCCTGGACAAACTGCAATCATGGGAAATAAAAAGCCATCCAAGAGCCCATTGGGCTTTGTCGAAGCTTTCAAATGAAAATGGGCTTATTGGATCATTTTGTTCTCATTCTGACCCAAATTTAAAATTTTGTCGAGTTATTGGGCCAAAAATATTGAATGGTCCAAAAGCTTGGCTAGAATATCAATTTGTTCATGTTCCAAGAATCTTCGAACAAAAAGATTCCATATACTTCTCAGCCAAAAGATAAAAATGGAATCTATCCAAAAGAAAAAAATAGAGAGAGTAGATTCCATGTACTAGCAGATCAATTACTCAAAAAAAGCAAATTTTGTTAAAAGAAAAGGGATTCTCTAACCTCTACCTTTATAGTACAATTAATTCTCATTTATTATAGTATTTATAATTAATTTTACATAAATATTTATACAAAATTTAAATAAAATATGATATAAAATGTAAAAATATAATATAATATAATATTTTATCTCAAAATCTATAAAAAATTATAAATCTAATATGAAAATTTATGTAAAATTAATTAAAAATACCCTAATTAATGAGTCTTAACATGTATTTTAAGGGAACATGTTAAAACGAGCCAGAAGAATATCAGCAATGTGTACAACTTAAGCCATTATTAGATTGGGATAAACTCTTTGAAAAGTAAGGTTATTTAGTATTTATTGGTTGTAATTTTATAATTAGATGTAATTTGAGTTGTAAAATAATAATCTCATAAAAAAAATATGTGAATTTGTGAAAAAAAGTAAAAAATATCTAAAAAATTTTAAATATTCTTACTAATAAATTAAGAGTTTTAAATAATTTCATAACCATTTTTTCTTACCACAATAATCTTAAAAACCATATTTCTTAATAAAAATAAAGAACTTAATTTTAAATTATAAAATATAAATTATTAAATTAAAAAAATATTTTTAGTATTACATATTTTATCTGTATCTAAAATTCTAAATGCTAATCTGGTACAATTTGATATAATTGTACCCGCAAATCACCTCTTCTTATAAAGTAGCTGTTTACAAAAAAAGAGTTCTTTTCTTCTTTCCCAAGAAGCCCTCCCTTCCCTGGCGTTAAACCCTACGGCACCTCACCAGAAGAGAAAAACCCCAGAGTAATCTCTCATCCACCGCCTCCCTTTTCTTCCTTCCCCTTCTATATCTCTGCAACTTTCTAGGGTTTTGTTTCTCGTCACCCAGAAATCTTCAATAAATCTTAAACCCCTTAAACCCTCAAGTTCTTTACTTTCTTGTGATCCATCAGAATTCAACTCTCCCTGTAAAACCCCAGTTTCTCTCTTTGTTTGGAGCTCTTATTTCCTCTCTTCGAATTTCAAAGCTCCCCAAAACCCTTGAGCTCTTTACTTTTCTCGATTGATCGATTGAATTTCAAAACCCCATATCTTCTTTAAACCCCCTGTTGTCTGTTTCGTTAATGGCAGATTCATCCAGCTCCAACGGTGAACAGAAGTACCGCCAGTACCACCCGTACCAACAATTCAACATTCCAATTCAGAACCCCTACAACCTCCCCACATCCCCTGAATATCTCTTCCATGAAGAGGCTGCAAAGCCTCATCGCTCGTGGGGCGAGAATCTCCAGTACTATACAGGCTTTGGCTATCTCTCTGGAGCGGTTCTTGGAGGTCTCTATGGCTCTCTCCGAGGCGTCAGGGAGGCAGAGTTAGGTGATACCCTTAAACTGCGAGTCAATCGCGTCCTTAACGCAGGGGGACATTCAGGGCGTCGGTTTGGGAACTCTCTTGGGGTTCTTGGATTGATATATGCTGGTATGGAGAGTGGACTTGTGGCTTCGAGAGGCACTGATGATATTCTCAATACAGCCTTGGCAGGATTGGGAACAGGGGCCCTTTACAGGGCGGCTGCAGGTCCCAGGTCCGCAGCCATTGCTGGAGCTATAGGAGGCATCGCAGCAGCAGTTGTAGCTGGGGGGAAGTATGCGGTGAAGAGATATGTGCCCATATGAGTATGGATTCTAAGTTTTTACATTGGTTTTGGTTTTTGATATTTAAAGTATTGTTCTTTATGACATTGGTAGTTTGATTATATAATTTGTCGACTTTTCTTTGGCTCTGTGGATGTTTTTTTTCTTGATAGTGCCTCTATTGATGTTCCCGTGGGAATTTGAATTTGTTGCCCATGCTAAAATTCTAAGAAATTGAATTCATCTTCTGCAGCCTCCAAATAAACTTTTCTTTTCTGGTATAGTGCATTTCTGCCCATTGGCTTTTGTACTCAATAATATTCTTGGCTTCTTGCTATTTTGATTCCCTAATTTTGTTCATAATGTATTTTGAGGAACTTGTGAAGTTTTCATGTTCTTTCACTCTTTTGTTACTCAATCATTTGAAGGCATGAATGGAATTTCATCTCTTAAGAGCAATTTAATGTGTAAGAAATTTTATTCGGTTGGGCTGCTTTTTGCTAAAACAGTGGGGGAAGGCATGGTAATTCTCTCAGGGAAGGTCTGCTCAGTGCTTGTGACGGTGAGGCATTTGTTAATCCATGTGTCTCTGATCTTGTTATTGAAGGTTTTTTGAAGTCAGGGGCAGGGATCTCCCCAGGTGATAAATGCATTAAGCTTCCTGCTCATCTGTGATCCCATACTAGTGTTGTATCTAATGCTTAGGTTTTTTAGGAATAAAAACTAAAAAACACCAATTTATGTTAGTGCTTTATGCTTTGGTGACTTTGGGAGATTTGATGAGGCATGGTTGTGGGAGAAGGTTGCTTAGTGCATTTGTCTCATTAGTCTTGTGCTTTTTGACATGGAGCAAATGTTGCAAACTGCATTAGTAGATATCAAAATCAGATACTTAAGGGTGGGACAGAACGTATTTTGCCACTGGCCTACCATGCTGTTTATCATACCCAATTTCTGGTTTTAATTTTTGTTGCTTATTGAGGATAGAATGAGTTAAGATATTGAAGTGCTCTGTGAGAGGGTAATATTAGAAGTGGCAAAAATCCACTCAATTCGTTAACTCGATCATAACCCAATTCATAAAAACAGATTAGAGTTTACATATCTCAACTCACAACTCACGGATAACCCGTAATATGAATCTATAGATCACGGGTTGGGTTAGGGTCAACCCATGGGTTGATAGGTTGACCCGTTTGTTTATTATTATTATTATTTTTAAAAATATTATACTTATTATTCTTAATGAATCTTTTTATTAGTTACTCTCTTCATTAATTTATACTCTTCAACTACATTTCTATTATTTAAATGGTTTTAAACTTATTTTGAATGTTTACTCATCATAATTTCTTCTTTTTCTAGAGAAAAAAAAAAGAAGAAATTATGATGAGTTTGATATAACTATCAAGTATCATGAATTAAATGATAATATAACTAAAAATATTAAAGATGTGATGTTAGGATATAAACATAATAATATAATAAAAGATGTTCTTGGAAGAGCAATTTTATCATAAAAAAATGAACTTAAACTCCTTGATAATATTTTCAGATAATTGTAAAATTAAAACTTTTTTTTTCGTGAAATTTAAATATTTTAAGTTTAATATTGTTAATCAACTTATTATTATTTATAATTTTATGATTTTTTTAATTTAAATGTTTATAATTGAGACTATAAAGTATTTAGTGTTAAAGAGTTATAATACTTTAATTAAATTTAAATATATATATTTTTATTTGCATATAATAAAATTAATAAAAATAATTATAAAAAATAAAAAAAAAGGATTAACTCATGAGTTAATCCGTAACTCGCTAAAACTGAATTATGATTGGATTTTTTCAAATCGCAATCCATTTACGACCCAACTCATATAATTCATCACCTAACTTATTCAACCCAAACTCGACCTAACCCACCTGATTGCTAGGCCTGGTAGTATGGATTGCTATGTCTGAATGGGAAGAACAGGTACAGGGAGTTTTAGTCGTTTACTATCTATCACAGGCCATATATTATCCCAGAGGACAGCGTGGCAAAACCAAGCACCATCAGACCTCTCCTTCAATCTTCATTCATGGTTTTTTCAGTCTCTTCTCCGGTTCCATATGTCAAGGCAGTTGGTTCAGGGAAGGTCTCTTTAGACATTGGGTGCATCACTATAGCTGTCTATGTTGAGCAATCTCTGTTTTCACATTCAGTCTTTTGCTACTATTTTCATATCCAGTCTGTCTATGTTGGCTTTGACATTTCACGTTCTAGATTTAGTTCTGTAAAATTCAAAAATTTCAAATTAAGAAATAATTCTCAATTGAGGTGGGTGCACCTCTCAACTTTCCAAGAAAATCAATAAATGCATATCGTAGACTTTCTCCATAACAAATCATAATCATTATTATTAACCACAATAATACACTTATAATATTATATTATATTATATTATATTATATTATAAATTTATTGTAATAATATGTTGTAGATATTTATTTATTTAATAAAAAATAATTAAAAAATAATTTTTTATAAGACTTTACATATTATTTAACAATTAATATTTTTTGTTTTATTAAAATTTATAATATTTTGTATATTTATTTATTCAATAATATGTTAAAAATTTTATAAAAAGATTATTAAAAAATTATCCACTTATTATTATTCTTTAATTAATATTATATTACTACCTTAAACTTCCTATCTGACGTGATGTCGTGTGTATCATTTTCGTATCATTAAATAGACGCCACTTCTAGACGATTGAGTTGGTAGCACCAAGAAAATCTTTCAACTTTTTAGACTTATACCCTTGCATGTGGTATGCTTTTCAAAATTGTTATAATTATGGTGGGAACATCTACTTGCCCATGGAAAACTTAGGCCCCTTGAAGTGAGAAAATTCTAGTTTTCACATTTTAGGTGTATCTCCAAATTTACTTTAAAAGAATTTTTAATTTAAATTAAAAATATTAATTAAAATATAATTATTTTAAAGATGTTTAAAAATATCTTATAAATTACATTTTCTATATGTATTATACATATGAATTAGTGTTTATTTGTTTTTTCTCTTAAAAATTAAGAGAAAATTCATCTCTTAACTGTATCATTTTAATAAGAGTTGATTAAAACAACATAATTTTAAAATAATTTTTCTTCTAGTTTTTCAAAGTAAGGTGAATGGACATTTTTTCCATATATATTGATTAATATAGTGTAGGTTATCCTCCTAATTTTTTGGAGAACATATTTAAAAAACTTATTTTTTAATTAATATTTTAAAAATATTATCTATTAGATTGAAAATTTTATTCATGATAATCATGCATACCAATTTTCACATTAGTTTAACATCTATAACCTTTTGATTAAAAAAATTTATTTACTAAAATATATTTAACGATGTTAAATTTTATTTAATTACAAATTAGTTAGGTTTACTAAATTAATTTAAAAATTGATATGTATGATTTATATAAATAAAATTTTTAATTCAACAATTAACTTTTAAAAATATTAATTAAAAAAATAAAATTTTAAACAAGTCTTTGAAAAACTTAAAAAAATAACTTACAAAACACTTTTCCTATACATGGAACTCTACACTTCAACAAAGACAGACTCTTCACAATGCAACAAAGGCAACTACCAAAGCAATTAACTATAGTGAAAATGGTATGTCGACCCTTGTACTTTTCAATTTTATTGAAATCACTCTTAGTATTTTTTTTATTAAATCATCACCTGTACTTTTAAGTTGAATAAAATCACTCCTTTTACCATTCAATTGAATAAAATAACCCCAATTTTAACACTATTCATGAAGTAAACTTCTGCCTTTTGTGTTTCTAAGTGTAACTCTATTAACTTTTTAATAATATGGCTAGACACAGACCCATTTTAAAATGGTATGGCACTAAAATATCTTACATGGCATGATTATTGATAATGTAGACAAAATGATGAAAACGTTATTGATTTGTCTATGCAAAAAAAATATTGTGTGTTTGTATTCTTAATTTTAAGTTTTCATATCATTTCTTTTTGTCATGTAAGATTAAATGGGCCATGCTATTTCTAAGTCATCCTTATAATAATGAATATGCAATAGGTTTAATGGAATGTTAACTTTTGCTTCCCTTATTTATTAAATTCTAACTGATTTAATTCAAATAAAATGTAAAATGATTGATTTTTTTTTCTTTTAACAAGTTACAAACTTGCCAGCGTAGGGGATTGAATTTAGGCAACTTGCCTGGGGGTGCACCTTACAAGCCCTATGGGTTGATAGCCTAGGTGCTAGAAAGGGTTGATTTTATTCAACTTCAAAGACTAAGGGTTGATAAATTATAATAAAAACTAAAGGAGTCACTTCAATAAAGTCAAAAAGTATAGGAGTTAAACACCCTTTTGCCATTAACTTTTTATAACCTAAATTTTGACACGGGTAGCATGTTATTTAGGATTTTGACATAATGGAACCTTCTTTTCTGTGCAACTGCGGTCACGAATGACAATCCTTAATCTCCAAAATACCCTTCATCTAGCATTGACCAGGAAAAATTGATTACATAAGTTTAGTTTAGAACAGGGTTAAATATGTCAGAGCGGAAAGCAAAAATGTCTTAAGTTGAGGCACGCAACACGCAACACGCAACACGCAACGTGATTCATCCAAAGCCTGTCACATCTCAGGTCAGTTGGTTTGGTTAAGGACTTAGAGCTCGTGAGTTTTTACGAATTTTTGTGTATAGTATACCCTTACACACTTGT